ACTATGAAGAAAATAAAAGCAGGATAAAAGGATTAGGAGTGCTTGGATGACAGAGGGATTGCAATTTTAAATGGGACGGTTAGAACAGGGTGCATTTCAGAAAGTGACATTTGAACAAAGTTCCGAGGAGGTAAGGGAGTGGGCCAAGCAGATATCTGAGAGAAGAGCGTTCCACACCAAAGGAATCGTCAGTGAAAAGACCTCAAGGCATGTTTAGAGAAAGAGGAGGTCGGTGTGGCTGGAGCAAGGTGAGCCCGGGGTGGCAGGGTGAAATGGGACGACAGAGTTAAGAGGAGAGGGTGGAGAGGGTCTTGATGAAAACAGTAAAAACTGCACCTTTATAATTAATAAAAAACACCCACAGTTAGATGCAACATTGTTAAGTTTGTGAACTTCAAGAATACAGAGAAAGTGTTTAATGTCTCCAAAGTGAAAAACAGGTCACCTATTAAGAGCGCAGGAATCAAGACTGGTATCGGTGGAGAAGTACATTCCAAATCCCAGGAAAAAGCAATTTAAAGTGAATCCTATCTTCAGCCAGCTCACAAAATAAATATGTAGGAGGAATACAGACACGTACAGATATCCAATGACTCAGAAATTTTAATTCTAGCAAAATGAGGAGATAAAGCAAGAAAGAGGAGAAATGTGATTCAGGAAAGAATGGCTACAACATAGAAGGGCAGTAAAGGGAGTGCCGCCTCAGAGTAAGAGCAGTGTGGGAGGCCTGGAAGGCAAATACTGCAGTCTGGAAGAAAATGGGAGCTCTCCAGAAGGAAGGGATAAGGCAGAGAAGAAAAAGAGATGAAATGACTGAAAACTGAGAAAAACTTGAAGATTTAGTACACAAAATTGGGAGGGAAAGGGAGAGATCAACTTTCTCATCTATTTGATTCTAGAAAAAGTCTTTCCGTGGTATTCTGCACATGAGATTGAACCAATAGGGAAGGAATTTTAATCCTAACATATTGTTCCATCATGCAGTATACACTATTTATAGAATGAAACAATGTACACTATTTATGGGTCTTCAATGTTCAGAATTCCTCCAAAGATCAATCTTAGTAATGTTACAGAATAGATTTTAAGGTTTCAGAAAGAATATGATCAACCTTGACGATATGAAAGTACAACTGTAAGATACTGGGGAGTAGAAGAGAGGGAGAAATGGAAGGCAGGGTGGGCAGATAATTGTTATTTTATAAAAAGAAAAGCCAAAAGATACTTGCCTCAAATTATTTTTTAAATAATAATAAAGATAAATACAGGAAAAAAAAGACAATAAAGGTTTGATGCGTATTTAAGAGAACTTTCCCCCACTAACAGAATAAGAATGTAGGTGTAAGTGCACAGTGCTAAGTTTCAGAGCAGTGTGAGATCGCAGGGTGCAGGGCGGTGTGCGGAGGGAAGGGTGGTTTAAGTGACATAAACCCTTGTGATAGGGCAGTAGTCAATGTCTAATTTTTTAAATAATTAAAAAAATAATAATAAACATGTGATTTAGAGATTTGGGGTGACTTGAAGAATAAATTAGGAACAGAAATCATTAGAAGTAACTGCCTCTGAGGAGTAAGACTGGAGAAAGAGAGGAAGCAGTCACAGGGGAAAGTTCCTTTTCACTAGGAGCTCATTTATAGTTTTAATTTTTTACCCATCTGATTTATTTCTGTAATACAAATTAAAGGGGAGATTTGACAGGAGAATAAATAGCAGAGCTTTTCCATGGAGGTCAGTTATATGTATTTTTAAACATTTGACTTAAGAGATAACCTCTCTAGAAAACATATTCCCTGAGGTTTGAGATAACTAAAATTGTATGGTATCCAGAATTTCTATACTTCTCATGTGCTCATTTATTGATTAAAAAGATATTTTGGGGGTTCCTACCACGTGGGTCTTCTCACACTTTGGTGTTTGTTGTTAGTGTCTAAAAAACCTTTTTCTATGTTTCTTCTCCTCAGTATTCACTGCCCTCAAAACACACCCCACAGAAACAAAAAAAAGGCTCCTGTGTATCACTGGAGATGTGAACTGCTAAAGGGATAACATCCTGTGGTAGGAAGAAGGATAACCCCCTCAAAGATGTCCACATCCTAATCCCCAGAACCTGTAAGCATGCATTTTACATGGCAAAAGGCTACGTGCAGATGTGACTAAATTGAGGATCCTGCAATGGGGAGATTATCCTGGATTATCCAAGTGGGCCACATAGAATCACAAAGGTCTTTATCATCAAAACAAGGAGGCAGAGAGTTGGTGAAGGACATGTGGGGATGGAAGCCTCGGCTGGACTGGCAGATGGCTGGCCTAGAGCAAAGAGCCCATGTATGTGAGCTGCCTCTGAATGCTGGAAAAGGTAAGCAAAAAGACTTTCCCTTAGCACCTCCAGGAGGAACACATCTCTGCCAGCACCTTGATTTTAGTCCCATACAGCTCATCTTGGACTTCTGACCTCTAGAAGCTCAAAGGTAACAAATCTGTGCTATTTTAAGCCAATAAGTTTGTGGTAAATGGTTACAGCAGCAATAGGAAACGACTAATACCTATCTAATGAGGGTGTTTTTCGTTTTCTTATTTACAGCAATACACTAAGGCATAGCCTAATTTGCTAAAATTGTGTAAGTTATAACTACACTCATTTTGGATCATTTTCTACTTACTATAGCAACAGGTGTAAGACTTCTTTAAAAATGTTAGATTATTAAAATAGTACAACCACTACGGAAAACAAAATGATGGCTTCTCAAAAACTAAAAAATAAAGTTATATGTGCTCCAGCAATTCCACTTGTGTGTATACTCCCAAAACAATTGAAAGCAGGGTCTTATAGAGATATTTGTACCCATGTTCATAGTAGCATAATTCACCATGGCTAAAGATGGAAGCAACCCAAGTGTCCATCAATGGATGAACTGCCAAGCAAAATATGTACATAGGTACAGAGATATGATAAAATATTCAGCCTTAAGAAGGAAGAAAACTCCAACAGATGCACTGGGCATTAGTGCTGTTCCCATGGATGATCCTAAAGATGGAGACAAGCACTGGGTGGTGATCCTGGCGGGTTCAAATGGCTGGTATAATTATAGGCACCAGGCAGATGCCTACCACGCCTACCAGGTCATTCACCGGAATGGGATTCCCAACGAGCAGATCGTTGTGATGATGTATGATGACACTGCTTATGCCGAAGACAATCCCACTCCAGGAATTGTGATCGATAGGCCCAATGGTACCGACGTCTATAAGGGGGTCCCGAAGGACTACACTGGAGAGGATGTCACCCCACAAAATTTCCTTGCCGTCCTGAGAGGTGATGCAGAGGCAGTGAAGGGCATAGGATCTGGAAAAGTCCTGAAGAGTGGCCCCCAGGATCATGTGGTTCGCTTAAGTCACTGATCACAGATCTACTGGAACACAGGTTTTTCGCAATGAAGACCTTCACATAAAGGACCTGAATGAGACCATCCATTACATGTACAAACACAAAATGTACCGAAAGATGGTGTTCTACATTGAAGCCTATGAGTCTGGGTCCATCTGCCTGATGACATCAATGTTTATGCAACTACTGCTGCCAACCTCAGAGAGTCGTCCTAGGCCTGCTACTACGATGAGAAGAGGTCCACGTGCCTGGGGGACTGGTACAGCGTCAACTGGATGGAGGACTCAGACGTGGAAGATCTGATGAAAGAGACCCTGCGCAAGCAGTACCACCTGGTAAAATCGCACACCAACACCAGTCACGTCATGCAGTATGGAAACAAAACGATCTCCACCATGAAAGTGATGCAGTTTCAGGGTATGAAACACAATGCCATTTCTCCTATCTCTCTGCCTCCAGTCACACGCCTTGACCTCACCCCCAGCCCTGACGTGCCCCTCATGATCAGGAAAAGGAAGCTGATGAACATAATGATCTGGAGGAGTCCAGGCAGCTCACAGAGGAGATCCAGCAGCGTCTGGATTCCAGGCACCTCAATGAGAAATCAGTGCAAAAGATTGTCTCCTTGCTGGCAGCGTTCGAGGTGGAGGTGGAGCAGCTCCTGACCAAGACAGCCCTGCTCACGGGACACAGCTGCTACCCAGAGGCCCTGTTGCACTTCCGGGCACACGCTTCAACTAACACTCCCCCATGTATGAGTATGCGTTGAGACATCTGTACATGTTGGTCAACCTTTGCGAGAAACCGTATTCGCTTCACAGGATAAAACTGTCCATGGACCATGTGTGCCTTGGTCACTCCTGAAGAGCCACCTCCTGGTAGCTTTTCCAAGTGTGAGTGCTCCCCCGAAAGAGTGCTGATCAGGGCCTGGAGAGGTGGATTGGGAGTCCCCGCTGCTCCCGGGCCTCTTGGGAACCCCCCACTCCAGGGCTTGCTCCAGGGCCTTCTTCAAAAGATGACTTGCTCGCAGTTACCTACTTCCCCAGTCTTCTCTGAAAAACTATAAATTTGGGTGGGGAAAGCTGTGTATTAAGAAGGGTCATATTTGCTTTCTAGGATGTGTTTTGTTTTGTTTTGTTTCGTTCATTAGTTTTAAGGAGGAGGAAGATCATGGCGGCTTCTGTAGCTCTTCTCAAAAGAAGTCTTCATTCTGAGAAATCTGAAGCTGAAACCTCTAAATCTTCAGAATTATTTTATTGAAGAGGGCCATAAGCCCCAAATGGAAAACTATTTTTAGAAAATAATTACGATTTTTTATTGCTTTTTTAATTTAATTCTGCAAATGTTCAAGTCTTAAAAAATAAAGATTTATTACAGAATCCCGCCAAAAAAGTTCTCATGGGTGAACCCTGAGAACATCATGCTAAGTGAAATAAGCCAGTCACACACAAAAAAACATTTCACATGATTCCACTATTACGAGGTATCTAGAGTAGTCAAATTCATTGAAACAGAGAGTAAAACGGTAGTTACCAGGGGCTAAGAAGTGAAGGGAATAATGAGTTAGTGCTTAATGGGTATCAACTTTCAGTTTTGAAAGATGAAGAGTTCTGGAGATTGCTTGTAGAACAATGTGAATGTACTTAACACTATTCAACTGTATACTCAAAAATGGCTAAATGGCAAATTTTATGTTATATATTTTACAACAATGAAAAATAACGAAAGAAATACACAATAAAAAATGTTAAGATTATTGTGTATGGGATATAGGCAGTATTTAAATTCGGATATTTTCAACCTCCCATTAAAAAGACTATTTTGGTCTTAGTTCTACAATTAGCAAGGCCAATACTTAAGTAAATATGATTCTTTCTCATTAAAGTTGTACAAAAGTACATAGATGCCTCAGAATTTACAAACAATATGTTCCTGGCTTAATGCAAATTTAAATTAATTTCTATAATGTTTCCAGTGATGACTGATTCTTCTGCTCAGTTTTCATTTCAACATTCATAATTTATCTTTCTGAAATTAGGTTGATATAACTTAACTGCCCACATTAATTTCTAAACAAGAAAAGTGTATGTGGTAACACAAAGGTTTTTAAAACAAATTGGGTTATTCTCAAAACCACAGGGCAAATATTAGGGATTCCCATCAACGGTCTTACTGTTTTGTTACTGCTGATTGTTGTTTAAATATCATTTTAATCCTTTTGTTTCCAATAGTTACAGATTTTAAAGCTATCATAAATTTGTATTCAAAGATAAAAGAAGGCAGGCAATCTGTAATAATCACTACCAGGGTTTACAGCTAAGATTATTCTACCCTGAGAATTACTTATGCTATAGATCAGGGGTCCCCAATCCCTGGGCCCACAGACCAGTACCAACCAGTCTGCAACCTATTAGCATTCGGGCCACACAGCAGGAGGTGAGTGGTGGCTGAAGGAGCATTACCACCTGAGCTCTGCCACCTGTCAGATCAGTGGTGGCATTAGATTCTCATAGGGGCAAGAACCCTATTGTGAGCTGCACATGCAAGGGATCTAGGTTACATACTACTTATGAAAATCTAACGCCTGATGATCTGAGGTGGAACAGTTTAATCCTGAAACTATCCCCCGCCCCCCTCCCCCAGAGTCATAGATGCTATTTTTGTCATGAACTGAACCAGACCATGTTGCGGCCCCACACTGCTTTTGCAGAAAGTGTAAAACTATCTGTATAATTACAATTTATCATTACACATTATAGTTTCTGTTAAGGCAAGAACATACAACTTTATAATCAGACTACTTCAATGATTTAAAAACCAATACTTCTGGACTTAATTTTCCAATCAAATTAAAAGATGTATTTTACAAAATGCTAAGTAAAAATTAACACACTCCTAAGTATACTGTATCCTGTCCATTAAAATAGTGTCTGGAATAATTCATCTGCTTCCACAACAATTCACACACATTTTGAAGTAGTGTACAAGAACCAAATAATTATTATCACAGGTTTCATCCAAATCATAAATGGAATGGCTGTATATGTATTTTTACAACAGTTAGATGGTAGGATGTGAGAAGGGTTGTTTGGGGAGAAAAATGATTCACTCAAAACAAATGAAAGATATTGCTTAATAGGTCTTAACAAGCCCACTAAGAAATTTTAAATTCTGGAGGTGGCAAAACATTTATAAATTAGAAAGACTTGACTAATACTAATAAACTTTGGCAAAGCTGTGGTACTGACCACATAAAAAACAAGTCAGGGTTAGAGAAGGAAGAAGAAAAAAAAAAACCACAGGTTGGATTTGGAATCTGGTAAAAGGCAAAAGGGTTCTCTATGCTTTGTAAATATCTGTGCCATGCAAAGTTACTGTTTTGTTTTAATAAGAGGAAGGAAAACTAAACAGCTGGCCAAGCAACATCCATTTTTGTATAACGGTATCCTCCGTTAACCTTCTCCAAATGAGCCATGGCCCCTTGGCTCCTCAATGATCCTGTTTCATGGTTTAACAAGATCCTGAGTAATGTCTATTATTCACTTGTGCTAACCACTAACGATATTGCATGAAATTATTACAAATCAAGCTATACTAAAACTAGTATTATTCATCATTGAATTCTAACAACAGTAAACTTTCTAATCATACTTAAAGTAGAAGTCAGAAAAATGTCATGACTAACAACAGTAGAAGCAAAAGTATTATTTGATCAGATTAAGTAGAATGCTAATGTAACACTCTAAACTAAAATGGAAACTAGCAAACATTATGTTGGGTTTTACACATTCTTTAATATAAAATGCCAAATTATAATGCAAAGCTGGGAAAGTACTTTTTTAAAAATTGATATATAATAATTGTAGATAATATGGAGGTACATGTGTTATTTTGATACATCTTTACAATATAGAATGTTCAAATCAGGGTAACTGGGAAATCCATCAACACAAACATCTTTTCTTTATCTTGGGAGCATTACAACTCTTCTAGCTACTTTGAAATACACAATAAATTATTGCTAACTATAATTTCCTTACTGTACTATCGAATCCTATAACTTATACTTTCTACCTAACTGTATTTTTGTACCTGTTAACCAGCTTCTCTTCACTGGGGAAAATGCTTCTAAAGGAAGCAGAATTTCACCATAATGTAATCCCTCTGTCATTTCTCTGAAACACACATATTCCCTTCAACACACAAAAGTGCTGATCAGGTTTAAACTCTACTTGAAATATGAGGTAAGATTCTCTCTCACAACACTGCTGTAGGAAACAAAGCTGATCTTGATTAACTTTATAGCATATATACAATGGACTACTGCACAATGAAGGTAAGAAAAAAAGAAAAAACATATAGCAGAAAATGATTTTACCCCAAGTACTCCTAAAAGAGAAAGAATGGTGGCTTTCTTGCCACGGAATGTATACCGGATAACCTGTTACTATATGGCAGAGATCAGGTATACAATTTTCCCCAAATCTTTGCTTGTCCTTCAGTATATCATGGAACAGGCTAAAACGCATTTTGTGTTTGAAGCACCTACTTAGTGAAGCCACTAAAAACAAAACAATACACAGTTTTTAAAAAGAAACCATTAAATAGAATATGTTAAATTGTCCTCATTTAACAGAAAATCCTGAATAGATTTTTGACAGGTCACAGCATACACCCAAGGGTACTTCAGGTCTACCTCTTATACTCTGTTGTGAAATCCAAAAAGCTCTATAACATACAGGTTTTTAAAAATTAAGTTGTGAGGTGGGGGTGGTGGCTCATGCCTGTAATTTCAGCACTCCAGGAGGCCAAGGCAGGTGGATCACTTGAGGTCAGGAGTTTGAGACCAGCCTGGCCAACATGGTGAAACCCCATCTCTACCAAAAATATTAAAATTAGCCAAGTGTGGTGGTACACACCTGTAACCCAGTGACTTGGGAGGCTGAGGCAGGAGAATCACTTGAACCCAGAGGGCGGAGGATGCAGTGAGTCAAGATCATGCCACCAACACTCCAGCCTAGATGATAGAGCATGACTCCATCTCAAAAAAAAAAAAAAAAAAAAAAAAATAGTTGTGACAGATTCATTTGGCTTAAAAATCTGACTTAAACTCATGTAAGGTTATTTATGGCCAAGACTTATGTCATGTGGTGTAACTATTCATATGTTTTGCTGAACAAATATTAGTATGTTTGATTATGAAGTACTGTTCCAGGCTGTCCTGTGAAAAGGAGGTTAGATCATGTACTGAGTATGTACTCTATTACCTCTTTAAAATCCAAACAAATTCTGAATTTAGAAGCACATCTGCCATTAAATAAGACTTTGGGCTTGTATTTTAGATCCAAATGAATTATATTGTAAAACTACATACAATATATTCTGTAAATATCTGCATGTATGATAAAACTAGCCACATAGTTATCCAATAAATTAACTTAATTATTTGTTACAGGTAAACTATATAAATGTTAACTTTTAAGAGCATCAGATAGGCAAATCTACTAGTAAGCAGTCTATATGCAAGAGTCCACCAGAATTTCCTAAGGAAAACTGGGTTGTTTTGTGGTTTCAATACACGAAGGATTCCTTCTCTCACTCCCTCAAAAAATGTTTTGATCTGCGTGTCTGTATTTTTAAAAAAACTCTATAAAATCAATAATAAACTCATTTTTTAAGGCATTCATTTTGTCTTTCCTAAAGTTTAATGCTTTGCTTTTCACTGAAGTTCTCCATCCTTGAAAGGTCTGCTTAGAGGAAAACAGAGAATCATGCCTCAAGAACCTTTTAAGAAACTGGCTTAAAACAAGGTGGAATGTGTTGCTTCCCTAGCACAAGAGAGAACACCTTTACATTTCCAGACTAATCCACGTAGGCTTCCAATTAAAAGGCAGTAAGAAAGGAAAATAAAAGAAAAATTATTACTTGACTTAAATACCATAAAGAAAAGCATGTATTATCTTAATTATAGCATCAGTTCAATGACCTTGAAAAACTAAAACAAGACAAAACCTAAAATGTCTTGAAACACTGACAGTTATCAAAGTTCCACAGTTGGGGGATGTTTCAAAACTTAACCAAAATTTAAACCATGAAGCAGGATGTCCTATTTTTCCTATGGCAAATCTCTTAGTTTCAAACAGAGAATGCTATTTTTATAAATAGCTATTAAAACATCCTAACACATTTTTAAAAAAA